TCGTTGGTGGAATATCAGTGCATTTCTGCTTTCTGGACAGCGTTGGATTTGCTGGCTTTCAATGTGAGATTTTGCATTCTGGATTTCTGCCATTTCGCTATCTCTGATTTCCCTCGCAATTTGGTATCGGAGCTGGTTCGAGCCACTCCACTGGCTCCTTCACAATAGCTGTTTGGCGCTTCGCTGGATATGGTGGGGCAGTGATAACGCTTGCGCGTTGGTGAATGGCGGCCCAGGGTCGTGTGGGGGGGCCAGGAAGGCTATGTGGCGACTTAGGGGTGCACGCTGGATGATGAGACCTTTCTGACACGGCATTTAAGCTGAGGTGGAACTTCATTGTATTGTGGGCATCGACCGGTCATCATAAATACACGTCAGGTTACTGGTGAGAAATCTGTGGTTGGGGGAAGCACTATGAGGTGCGTTGCTCCTTACCTTATCTACCCTCTTCATTGCTTCTTACAGTGAGGGAGTTCTGTCTTGAGATTCCTCTCATTGTGAGGTGTCGCGAGTGCTCAACCTTGTCGACATTCTTCCTGGGGAGCAAGCTGGTGGGAGACAGGCATTGCCTCTGAAGGGCCCTGGATGAAGCACTTGGGTCACAGTCACCATGACAACCCGCTGGGACATGCTTTGCCGCTTGTCCTTTGGTCTGCTTGCTGCGCTATAGAGGTCATGTCGGGCAGGCAAACCCTATGAGGACGAGTACCGGACCGTCTATAAAGAGACTCCGGCGGAGATACACGACTCGTGCTGTACTCGAGTATAAAAATAGTATGGTCGGGACTGGCCAGTTCTGCATAGACTTGGGGCACCGGGGTGGGCCGATTGCACACCTTCAGACACGCCGCTGAACCAGAGCTTCAGGACTTTGACACAAACAGATTACTCAAGAGGGATACAGGGGGAGGGAAGATTCCAGTAAACTGTTCGATTGTTAAATATTGAATAATAATTCCATTCTGTGTAACGACCCGCCAAAACACAGACTGAGAACACTGCTGATTTCTGGGATTTGCCGCTGGAATGAATGCCTTGCTGAGATTCCCGCATTCTGCTGTGGTTTCCGAGTCTGTGCATGTGTGCGTGCCTGCTGGTTTGAGTGCCTGTCTGAGTGCTTCGCCTAAATGTGTGTGTGACCCGCAAGGGTACTTGTTGGTTGAAAGGCCCCGCACGGCCGGTACTTACCTGTGGCCGTGACTTTGAGGGTTGCAGCGGGGAAAAACACTCAAGTAGCAGGGGTAGGCCTGCAACACTTAGAGCAGTGGGGAAAGACACTCAAGTAGCACGTAGGCCGGTACCACTCAAGTAGTGGTAGAAGTGTCGGGTACTGGAGGCCGAGCAGAAGAAGACAAAAAGTTGGCATTTTTAGAGGCCCAGTAGCGGTAGGATAGAGGTAGGCCGGTACCAGTCCAAGTAGCCTGAGTCTAGGGCCTGTCCGGAGGATAGCAGAGCCTGCAATGTTGTTTCCCTCCGAAAGGGAGGAGGTACCAGTTGCTGGGAGGCCGCTCGGCCTAGAAAGTCACCGCCCAGGAGACCAGTAGGCCGCTATATCTTCTGGAGCAAGTAGCTCCTCCTCATTCGCGATATGCAAGGATTGGCGACATGCTGCTGAACCAAGCGCTGGACTTGTACAGCGCTGCCTGGAGGTGAAGGGCAACTGCGCGCTCAGCCTGGCTATGGCGAGCAGCCCAGCCTGAGGAGGAGGAAGAAGGGGGGCGAAGGAGGAGAGTGGCGAGGTACCTACCTGACCATAGTGGACACCATCTTCATCACCCTGTTGGGCGCTGCATCCGAAGGCCCCAGTTGGGGTAGTGCCGCACCAAGGAAGCTCGAGGCAGAGTCAGGAATGACGGCTTAGTCAGCAGCGGCATAGCTGCTTTGGGTTGTCCTTTGGACAGGAAGGCAGCGACATAGCTGCTTTGAGTTGTCCTTTGCACAGGAGGGCTGAGCCCTCAGTAGTCCACCATAGACTAGGCATGTGACAGGTGGAAGAAGGGGGGGGAGCCATAGCTATGGTGGACCTGTTGTCGTTGTGTCAGCAGTAAGAGGGAACTTCGGACATTGATTCTGGTTCATCCACTCATTGTTATTATTATTATTATTATTATTATTATTATTATTATTATTATTGGAAGAAGAATAAGATTGGCGAAGTGGAGGAGGAGGAGGAAGGTGGAGAGAGAAGGGGGATTTGGCATTCGTCTTGCTGGTGTACATCTTCTTCTTCTTCTTCTTCTTCTTCTTCTTCTTCTTTCTTCTCTCTTCTTTGGTCTCTATCTCTTTGCAAGTGCATTCATTTCTTTCGCAGTTGGGTGGCATTGTCTTTCATTGTGAATTTGCATTTTGGGAATGACCAGGATCATAACATATGCATGCACACCCGCAAATAATTTTATTTTATTTTTGATTAGTTAGTTGTGACGGACTTTGCTAACAACCAACAGACGGCTGCAGATAGAGTAGTTAATATTCTTGGCTGCACTGCAATCTGTTTCAGACTAGTCAAAAGTAGGATAGAATTGTTTGTAGGAATCTGAGATTATCTGCTGTTACCGCTTGGCTACTTTCTGACAAAGCGGGATCGAACATTTATTTTATTTGATTTCAATCGGTTGGATGGCATGCTGCAGTAGGCCCCAGCGAGGACTCTAGTACAGATCGCAAATCACGCATAGCTCATGAGTGGAGATGACAGAGAGGTTGAAGAACTAGACCAGGGAGATAGGAGACTTACCCGTAGACGTGCA